GTGGGCATCCCAACACTCAAAGAAGAAGAGGTCTACACCCAATCCTCTATTTTTAATTCAATACAAAGAATTTGTTTGAAAATATTTTCAAAGATACACTCGGTACGGGGCCGAGGTTTTAGGAGAAAAAAGCGTTGAAAAGAAATGGTCTCAGATCCAACGTCATTTATCAATAAGTTGACTTAATAACGGTTTACGGAGGTCTCGTCATCGACCAGAAAGGCAAAAAATGCCCAATAAGAAAAGAGAAATAGAACCAACTCTAAAAAATAAAATAACGTAAACTATAATATATTCATAACCTTCTAAAAGAAATGTTAATAAAACTATAATATTATAAACTAGAAATTAAAATATGGATTCTAAAAATATAATATATATAAAGTTTTTTAAAGAAAATGAAACTATAAATAAATATCTTATTTACAAAAGGGGATATTAAAAATATGATAATATGTTTTTTACATAATAACTATAATAATATATTACAAAAGCTGAAATAAATATATGAAAAAAAAAGAGTATTTACAATTTATTTTTACAAAAAGAAGATAGGGGTTTGTAATGAAAACAGGGGTGGTGATATGGAAAGCCACTGATGGACTCGGTGGGCTGAAGCCTAAGTCAACAATAAATAAAATAAAATAAATCCACTTAATTTGTAAGTAAATAAAAGAAAATAAATATATAAAAAGAGAATAATAAAAAAAAAAGAAACGAACGAAGACCAAAATGTATTCCTTCTCTCGCGTCTTTCTCCCTCACTGAAATCTCTGACGCTCAATCACTGTTTCAACATTCGTTCTCAGATTCTTCCGAATTCATTCTTGGCTTATCGTTAACATGACTTCTCCTCTCTGTTTGTGTTGATACAACTTTGAGTCTGATTTGTCTCAGAGATGGGTTTGAAGTTTAAGAATCACTGACGAATTATTGATGATTTGTGTTGAATGGATTTGAAGGAGGGATGGATGGTGGAAAAAGCTGCGTATGGCTGTTGGGTGTACGAAGATTGAAGGTTTGTTCATGGTGGATCCGAAAAAGGGGAGAGTCTTTCGAGGCTGAAATTTTTTTAGGGTTGAATGCCCTAGGGTTTGGAGGTTGTGGCTGTTACTGTTTAGGGTTGTCGGTTGGGGTACCCTATATAGGGCTGCCACATGGCATGGAACACTAATGGTTAAAGGAAATAGAGCTTTTTAATTTTTAAAAAAAATAAATAATAATAATAACAATAAAACTCTATTAAAAAAAAATACTAAATCATAATTAAACTAAAATCTATAATAATAAAAAAAATAATAAAAACTGAAAAAAAAAAAAACACAAAAGTGCTAAAGGTGGAATTCAAACACTCATCCTTCAAACATACAACAAACAAACTCAACCACTCGGACACATTTACATTCATTAATAAAAACGCACAAACAAATATATGTACACAATATAATAAAACGGAAAAAAACAAAACGCTGGGACTGATATTTGAACCCCCGTACTTTCGGTATAACACAACCAAACCGGACCGCTGGGGCGAATTAACTTTCATTAACAATTTTGTACAAACAAATATATATTACATGAACATTAAAAAAATAAAATTAATTAATAAAAACTATTTTAAACTAATTAATAAGTGAACAATAATAAAAACTAATAAATATTCTATGCTAAAACTAATTCTAATATAATAATGAGAATAACTTTAGAAAGAAAATTCTAACAAAAACTATTAAATAAAATTAATTACAAGTAAATCCTAATATTAAAAAAACCTATTTAATATATAACTCTAAACAACTTATAAACAAAACTATTTAAAACTAATAAATAAAATAATTTCTATCTAAAAATAAAAATCTATTTAAACTATTTAAAATTCTAAAACCTATTTTCTAAACAAAAAAATCTATATTCTAAAAATAAACTATTTCTAAAAATTAAAACTGTTAAAACTCTATAATAAAAAATCTAAATCTAAAAAATATTTAAATCCTAAAATATCTCTAACAATACTAATTTAATTTAAAAATCCTAAAATATCTCTAACAATACTAATTTAATTTAAAAATCCTAAAATATCTCTAACAATACTAATTTAATTTAAAAATCCTAATACTAAAATAATTCTCAAAACAAATTAATTATATGCTATAAAAAAAATCTATTTCTATTCTAAATAAGAAACAACTATTTCTAATAAAAATTCAAATAAATTAAACTTCTATATAAAAACTATAAAAATAAAACCTATTCTAAAGAAAGAAATAAATAACTATTCTAAATGATTAAATAAAGCAAAATAAATAAATAAATGCAAAATGCAATGGAAAACACGCACCGAAATATGCCGATAGCATCAACACAGACTGAATTATCAAGAGGAAAGCGACTTCCGCTCGATTTCGACACTGAACTTATCGTTTGAATTAATTTGATTCGCCTGAAACGCGAGCAAAGCGGCTAAAATCCTGACAAATTCAATCCGGCTGATAATACGGGCAAAATGCGACCTAAATGGTATGCAGATGAAAACGAAACAAAAGCCAGTCAAAGTCGGAAAACCGGTGGGCAAATTTTAGGGTGCAACAATATGTTATATCTCTCATCACTTTTATTATAATGTTGATTTTAAAATTTTTCAGGTATATTCATCGTTTGTGTATTGGTACTTCACAATCTGAAGTATACGGATTTATGGACCTTGCTATGTGTTCGTACGTTGATCATGTGCCGAAAACTCAAGCAAGTGTCAAAAAATACATACAAGATAAGTTACGTGACAAAAAGAGAGAGTGTCACTTGCTACCATTTATTCATGGGTAAGTTTGTATGAAATTATGTTTTCTATTTTTTAATTTTGGTAACATATATAGTTCAATTTTGGTAACATGAAATTGTGACTTTTGTGTTTTCACACACGTACAGAGGTCATTGGCAATTAATAGTCATGTGTCCAAATGATAATACGGTGGTCGTCTTTTGTTCACTTCATCATGAACTTAATCAAACCATGATGATAATTGTTACAAGGTAAGTTTATCTTTTATGTTCACTTCATGCTATATACATAATTTGTTACAAAAGTAATATCATATGTTATGTGGCTTTATATGAATTTTTTTCTTCTGAATTAGTGCTTTTAGGGTTCATCAAACGGCAAATGGAAATAGAAAAAAGGCTACATGGCTTCAACCCAAGGTAAGCGTGGTGTAAATTATAATTATATATTTAATTTTATCATATAAGTATTCACTAATTATGTCATTCATTTGTAGACAAGGAAACAACCTAACTCTAATGATTGTGGATATTATGTGATGAAAAATATGTTGGATATTGTCTTTGCCAATATAACCAATTCTTGGATGAAGGTAATAAAAATGACTTTAATTTGTTATTTACTTTACGTTTTGCAACTTAATGTGAATTTTCAAAGAATAACTCTATTGTTATTTATGTGTTGCAGGTATTTGATGACCCAACGAACTTAACAAAAGATGATTTGTATGATTTGCGACCCCGTTGGGCAACATGTTTCTTTGAGTTATATAAAGGTTAAGCTTTTTGTTGTTGTAGTGGTCCATCGTGTATACCTCCTTATAATTTAGTACATTTGTGTATATCCTATATCAGTACTTTTGTAAATCAATTATGTGTATACTAGATATTTGGTGCAATGAAATTAGATTTGTGAAAAAAATATAAAAATAACGACTTAAATATGGTCTATGCGATGTTGGAAAACTATGAAAATAACGACCTAAATGTGGTCTATATGATGTTGGGAAAATATGGAAAATAGCGACCTAATTATGGTTTGTGTGATGTTGGAAAAATATGAAAAATTAGGTACCAAAAAAGTTACAGGGAACGGCTAAAAAATAGACAAATAATTTATACTCGTAACAGTACATTTTAAATCGGGCGAACGAAATAACCAATGTAAAAACCACCTTTCACATCCGGTTAACCACAGAACCGATGTTAAACGTGTCACCTAGGACTTTTCAAATCGGTCAAATAAGAGAATCGATGTAATAAATGTCACCAGGCGTGTGTTTGACATTTTTATTTTGTTTACTACAGTACTTTTACATCGGGTTGACCACACAACCGATGTAAAAAGTCTACCTTTTACATCGGTTTTGCCTTACAACCAATGTAAAAACACCCTTTTATAAGCAAAATTTACAATTATATTTTTTTTTCACATCAGACTTAAAAATTTAACCGATGTGCTTGGTGTATTTCTTACATCGGGTCAAAACCCAATGTAAAATGTCTTTGATTTACTACATCGTCTGACTTTACATCGGACCCAGACCCGATGTAAAATGTCATTTTTGTCCAATATAAAAAGTCATTTCTGCACTAGTGGTAATTAAAGGGATGCTCTTAAAACTTCAATTTGGCATAGTGTATCTTAAAGATGGAAATGAAAGCAAAATAAAGTGATGAATCATGCACACATTTGTATTCAACATTATGCTAAACATCAAACTGCCGAGTATATTATATAGGAATAACTTTAATAACAAACTAACAACAATAATCATAAGCTAACTAACTCTAATAACAAACTAATGACCATGGGATCAAAGTTGAGCCAGTGCAACCTAGCATAACTTGTGTAACAAGGCATTGCAACTAGAGATGAATCAAGAGGTAGTTGTGAGATGCTATATTGATCTTCATTTGTATTATCTAATGTTTGTAAAGGAAGTTTAATACATTAATTTACAATTCAATGATTAAAAAAAAACATACATACAAGGAACACCTTGTTTTTAGACAATTTTTATTTTGCTTAAAAACACACATATATATACCTTCATGCTTGCAGGGTAGAATATGCTATGATAGAAAAAGAAAACAAATGGTGACATCAAAAGAAAAAATGTTATAAATTGCATGTTTCTTCATGTCTCAACTTTGGTGTTATGATTGTAGCTGCATGATATCTTGAATAAGCAAAGACATATTAATATAAGAAGATCCACCTTTTTCAACAGCTCTCTTTGCCATCTCACTTAATTCACTAGCTCTTTCTCTTCTCTCTTTACTTTCTTGATCTTCCTCATCCATCACATTACATATTGCCTCCTTAATACTTTCCTTCTTCACAACAATACCTAGCTTCTCTTCCTCACCAAACTCCATTACAACCTTAGCACCAAGACTCACTCCAATCTTCAAAACTTGAGTCACAAGCTTCTCATTCAAAAATTGGTCAGCAAACAATGGCCAAGTTACCATTGGCACACCAAAACTTATCCCTTCAAGTGTTGAATTCCAACCACAATGTGTTAAGAATCCACCAATTGAAGGATGAGATAATATCACCATTTGTGGGGCCCATCCTCTAATTATGAGGCCTCTCCCTTTGTTCCTTTCTTCAAACTTTTCATCACTAATCCACTTTTCCAACTCTCGAGATTTATTGACTCCATCCCTAATAACCCAAATAAATGCCATTTTGGTTTCTTCCAATCCCAAAGCCAATTCAATAAGTTGTGAAGAAGCTAAATTGCATAAACTTCCAAGACAAACATAAACAACAGATTTTGGTTTATGAAAATCTAGAAACTTTAAACAATTATGTTCACTTATTGAAGCTATGTTACCTCTTTCAGCCTTATCCAAACCATCTTTGTTGCAGAGTGAAACAGGACCAACACACCAAACCTTACCATTCATTTCCTTTTTATACTCATTAACATATTCTTTCTCTAGTTCTTCAAAACTGTTTATGATTTCACCATACGATTTTGTTTCAGCTTCAAACATTTTCTCAAAAAAGTCGTTCTCTTGTTGTTCCAAAATTTTTAATGGTAATTGCGCATTGGTGATTTGAATTTCGTCAGGTATACCAGGAACAGTGATATACTCGGAATCAGAATTTACGCTTTCAAAAATCTTTGAAGACTGTATCTTGAGAAAGCAATGGAGACAGAAGCAAGAGAAACCATGGAATGAAATCCTTGGAATTTGATGTTTTTCAGCTATTTGAGAAGTCCAAGGAATGCAAAAATCGGAGATAATACAATTTGGTTTTGGTGAAAGTTTATCCAACCGTTCCTCTGCTGATTTGTGAAGTAAGGAAACTGCATGAAAAAGCCTGTCCATCGTGTCTTTTGAAATATTAACCATGTCGAAATTCTCGCAACCCTCTGGTAAACCAGCTTGTGTTGATGGAAAATGGAGTGTTACAAGATTGATTTGAAGGCCAGAGGAAACAGCACGAGAAAGAACAGAAGAAAAACGTGATGCGTTTATGGGTGTAGTGAAAATGGTAACAATGGCACCATGTTGTGCTAAGAGTTTAGCAATGTCTATCATTGGGATAATGTGTCCTTGTGCTATGAAAGGAAATAATACAAAATGTGGAACAGTAATGTTTTCTTGCAAAACCATGGTTTAGAAAATGAGTAATATTTTGAGCTAGGCTTGATTTGAACTGTGCTTCAATTATATAGATGTATCACTTTCTTTTATAAAGATGATAGATAATCTCTCCTCTTTCTTGAGAAAACAAGAAAGAAAAACATATGTTTACGTGGAAGCATGCTCACCAAAAACACAAAATAAAATAAAAAATTAATAGAAATATTTCAACAATAATATTTTATTATTCAACGTAATTTTTAATAAGAATAAAAATTACAACATGATAAGAATTTTAGGTTTGGAAATCTATCTTGGATAGAACTTTGGCCAACTTCTTGTTACCATACACTTTAGATGTGGAGCAAAAGCGATCAATATGATGAAATATTTTAGATCTAGAATTTTATTGTGGCAAGTTAGTAATGTTGCTCATGAATATTTTATGGCATGGAGTTATATGATAGTAAGATTGAATTGCTTCCAGAGAATAAGTAAATAAGGTTGACTTTAATTTCTTTGGATTGGGTGAGATTAAACAAAAATGAAGCTATTAAGAATGACTTGATAGTTAGATGTAGTGGTTTTTTAAGAGATTGTAAGGATGAGTCCACTACTATAAATAACGTTTATAACGTCGCACGCGAAAGAGATTTAACATCGAATACTTAGACGACGTAACGAATAGTGACATAAAAAGATGTCATTTAACACCTCAAATAAAGAAAATTCGAGGGGTAAAGTGATATGATCATGGATTCGAACTCCAACATCTGCATTTTTATTATTTACAAAAATAGCGTGCTATACCTCTCTGCTTACTCAAAAACCGAGGGGTAAGATAGATTGTTTATTTTAAATAAAACTCGTTCCATTATTTAAACATAACATTAATAAAATAATTTGTTTACAAACTACAATATTATTTACCCAGAATATTACATTGTTTACAGAGAATATTAAAATAAAAATTGATTAGTCCATGAAGATCATATGTTAGATATTCGAATCCTTGATATTTAGACAAGATCAAATGTTAGGTGCGACTATATTTTCAATGGCTTTACCTCTAATTGATGTTTTTGATATAAAATAAAAAATGGGTTGATAAATAAGTGATTTTTGCTCAAATAAATAGTTAAGAACACAAACCTTAAACCCAAATAATTTTCTATTCTTGCATCCATCTTAACAAACTTTTCATGGTAACAGGATGAGAGTAGCAGGATTGTTTCAGGTTCTTCATAATGATTCACATGCTTCTTCATATTCAGAAATATGTTTTTATAATGAAAGTTTTTTATGTTTCACGCGGATCATTAATGGTAGTGTCTTGAGCATTGATATCTCATGAAATGAACGACCTACATTTGATTAACAAAATCAACAATAGTTTTTATGTTTAATTTAGGTAAAATACTTTAACCTTCATTTTGATAAAATACTGAGGTAAAAAAACCTTTAATTTCCTTACTTACAAAGAATATTTACAAATAAAAAATATTTAAAAAAAAAGAAAGAAAGGTTCCTGATTTTTTTCCCTCAGTTATATTTAAAAACTGAGGTAGTATGTTGTTTTTTATATTTTAAAAAAATAGTAATGATCATCGCCCCTTGAGTTATATCACTAGTGTGAGATATTGGATTGAACTATAGTATGGTCGAAGTCGATTCGCGAGTAATGTGTGTTGTAGTCGAAGTCGATTCGCGAGTAATGCGTGTTGTAGCCGAAGTTTGTTCTAACATGCATTAGTCAATATTGCTAGGTTTGTTAGCATGTTGAATTGAGCCTTACTTGTAAGCCCAATTGTTTAAGTTAGCTTGTACCCTAAGTTAGCTTGTAATGGGTAATTGTTAAAAATCTCATTAGGTTAGTGTGCTATTTTTCTTATAAATAGCATGCTAGTCTCTCATCTTGGTATAAGGAAAAATAGAAAGTAAAATCCTAATTTCAAGAGAGAGATGTTATTTTGCTATTCTTGTATACTTGTAATCTTGTTTCTAAGAGAAAGGAAAGAATAGCAGTTTATAACCAATCCTTATTGTTCCTTGTTGTTTTACCTTGTTTTCTTTGTTAACCCTAATCCTTGTGTGTTTCTTGATCATAAAGAAATCATTTATATTTTGTTTCAAGACATCTGATTCAATAAAAATTGGTGCGGTAAGCGCGGATAAGATGTCTTCAACAAAGTATGAGATTGAAAAGTTCACCGGAGTGAACGACTTCGGCCTGTGGCGCTTGAAGATGAAAGCCCTACTAGTTCAGCAGGGTTGTTTGGAAGTATTGAAGGGAGAGGCAGCCATGGACGCCGCGTCAACAAAAAAAGAAAAGACGGGCATGATTGAGAAAGCCCACAATGCAATATTGTTGAGCCTTGGTGATAAGGTTCTTTGATAGGTATCAAAGAAGACTACAACATCGGGGTTATGGGTGAAACTTGAAAGTTTGCACATGACCAAATCCCAGGTGAATCGACTCCACCTGAATCAAGCTTTGTATTCATTTAAGATTAGTGAAGACAAAATGTTGGCTGAGCAGTTGGATATGTTCAACAAGCTGATTCTTGATCTTGAAAATATTGATGTGAAGATCGATGATGAAGATCAAACACTATTGTTGTTGTGTGTTTTGCCCAGAACACATGCTCACTTCAAAGAAACTCTCTTGTATGTAAGGGAGTCCCTGAGCTTTGAAGAAGTTCAATCAGCCTTATATTCGAAGGACTTGGACAAACGAAAGGAGCGTAAACCTTCGACGGTGGGCGAAGATTTAGCCGTTAAGGGAAAATTCTTGCGAAAGGATGGTAAGTTCGACAAGAAGAAAGGTAAAAGTTAGCATAAGTCTTATAGTGGCAAAACATCTGGTATTCGATGTTATCATTGTAAGAAGAAAGGTCACACAAGAAAGGTGTGCCCTGAACGCTTGAAGGATCATGGAGTTAAGGATAATGGAAACACAACCATTGTTCAAGATGACTTCGACTCATATGATGTTCTTGTGGTTTCAAGTGGTGACTAAAAAAAAGAGTGGATTATAGATTCATGTCACACTTGGCACATGACTCCAAACAGAGAATTGTTCAAGGAGTTATGTGATCAAGATGATGGATCGGTGCTACTGGGAAACAACAAATATTGCAAAATTGCAGGTATTGGATATGTGAGATTCAAGCTCCATGATGAGTCAATAAGGTTATTGACTGAAGTCAGGTATGTACCTGGTTTGAAGAGAAATTTGATTTCTCTTGGTGAATTCGACAGAAAGGGATATATCTTTCAAGGAGAGAAAAGTATCCTAAGAGTCATGAAGGGGTCGAAGGAAGTCTTAAGAGGCGTGAAGAAACAAGGCTTGTATACCCTTGAGGTTGAGGTTGTAAGTGGTTTGACAAATGTTGCATCTATAAAACCTGCGTCAAAGACAGAACTATGGCACATGAGATTGGATCATGTCAGCGAAAGAGGCTCGTTCGAATTGGGGAAGCAGAACCTGCTAAGAGGTGACAAAGTCGAAAAGTTAGATTTTTGTGAATCTTGTGTATTTAGTAAATCCTGTAGGGCGAAGTTTAACAAAGGCAAGCAAAGAACACATGGATCCTTGGATTACATTCATGCTGATCTTTGAGGGCCTACAAGGAATCTTTCATCCTCAGGTGCAAGGTATTTTCTATCCTTCATTGATGACTATTCCAGAAAGCTATGGGTATTCATTCAGAAGACGAAGGATGAGACTCAAACTGGCAGAAAGGTCAAGAGGTTGAGAATCGACAATGGCCTTAAGTTCTGCAACGAAGCGCTCGACAGTTACTGTGTTGAGTTTGGGACTGCAAGACATAAGATTGTAGCAGGTACTCCTCAACAAAATGGCTTAGCTGAGATATTCAATTGAAAAATCCTTGAAAGGGTTAGATGCGTGTTGGTTAGTGCTGGATTGAAGAAGGTGTTTTGGACGGAGGCTGTTTCAACAGCAGCCTATCTGATAAATAGATGTCCCTCGACTGCCTTGGGAATGAAGAAACCTGAAGAAGTTTGGTCGGGACATCCACCTAGTCTTGACAGGCTGAGAGTATTTGGCTCCGTGGCCTATGCTCATATTAGGCAAGGGAAGGTCGAACATAGAGCTCAGAAATGCATGTTCATGGGATACTCTAAAGGAGTCAAAGCTTATAGGCTATGGTACCTAGAGCCAGGTCATAGGAGGTGTGTCACCAGTCGAGATGTAGTTTTCAATGAAGTAGAGATGGCTTTCAAGAAAACTATTGATGCTGACGAAGAGCATGAACAACGAGAGATTCATGTTGAGGTAGAGCATGTTGATGTTGAATTGCATATCCCAGATGAAGTCGAAGAAGAGGCAGAAGATGTTGTCGAAGATGAGGAGACTGACAATGAATACCTGCTAGTAAGAGACAGGTCGAGGAGAGTCATCAAGCCACCTCAGAGTCTTGAGTATGCAGATCTTATAACTTATGGCTTTATCTGTGCAAGTGAGGTTCTAGAAGATGAACCTAGAGACTATAAAGAAGTTATGAGGAGTCGAAACAAGATTGAATGGCTGAAGGCCATGGATGATGAGATGAAATCTCTTCATGATAAAAATACTTGGGAACTGATCAAGAAACCAGCTGGAGCAAGGTTAGTCAACTGTAAATGGATTTTCAAAGTTAAGGAAGGGATCAAATGAGTGGCGTCGAAGAGATACAAGGCAAGATTGGTCGCTAGGGGGTTCACTCAGAAAGAATGTGTCAACTTTAATGATGTGTTCTCTCTTGTTGTGAAGAACAAATCTATTCGAATGTTGCTTGCCACGGTGACCCAGTTCGACCTTGAACTGGAATAGATGGATGTGAAGACTGTATTCTTGTATGGTGATCTAGATGAAACAATACTTATAAAGAAACCTGAAGGGTATGTTGAAAGGGGGAAGGAAGATTATGTGTGCAAACTGAAAAGATCTTTATATGGAATGAAAAAATCTCCTCGACAGTGGAATAGGAGATTCGACAAGTTCATGGCACGCATAAGTTTCATCA